AAATTTGGGAAAAAAATGTAACGAAGATTTTGATATTCAATTGTATATTTATTAATAACAATAAGAATTGTATTTGCCTAGTGTGGGAAAACAGGTACTACCAGAAGAGAGGAAACATTTGATGGTGTAATATTGGATCTAGATTGAAGAAGTTAATATATACCACTGAATTACTAATGGACCCAGACAACACGTTGTCTATTAAGTATTTGATTGTAAAACTAGAAAATTAATAAAATATTTATTGAAAAAATAAAATAAAATAAAAAACACCCTAACTGTTGGTTTGAATATGTTGCATCTCTTGTAAACTGCCACTAGGTAAAGCAATATACTCACCTCTAGTCTGCTCTTACAAAGAAAACATTTGTGGATTGCTTTATTTCTTATTAAAAGAGCTTCAAAGGAACATCACTAATGCTTTAGCCTTTTACTTTTTCTCCCACTTTGCTTGATCTCATTTTTGAAGGACAAACCAAGAAGAACAAAAGCAGGAATATCCAAAATCTTAATGTAAAAATAGAAAATCAAATAATTAAAATGTTTGTAGATAACATTAGTATTTCTGAAGCTTTTCAGTAGACATATCTCAACTGCAGTTTGAATTAAATACATTTCAATCAGTGCAACAGAAAGTTTGTGGGCTCATATTAACGCAGTCATCATTATATAGGATATCATCAATTTTAAAAAATTAAAATCTTACACATAAAATTTAAACAAAATGTAAGATTTGGCATTTTCATTATCATAGTTTAAGAAGACAGTAGCAATCATGAGCATCTTGGGGTTGGGGGGATGCAAAGGGAAGAAATGAGGAAACTATGTGATGAAATCATCCATGATCTTATCATTTTGGCATTATTACAGTTCTTACAGAAACTGCTGAAAACATTTAAAACAACTTATTTATGAAACAACCTGTTTTTACTTCAATGTGCTTATTAATTCAACTGCCTAGTTATGATTTCAAATAAAGGAATTTTATTTACACATTATTCCAAAAAGCTTAGCCTTAAAAAAAAACAATGTTCTGTAGCTTCTGTACTATAGAGAATGCAAAGAAGAATGAAAGGTGCCAATGCATAACAAATGTAACTTTCCTGTAAAAAGTCACAGAATGCTCATTGAATATAAACTGAGTAAGCATAATATCATTTCCTCTTGAAAGTAAGAAATAGCTATTTCAAATTCAGATTTAAAAATCATAAAAAATCTGAACAGGATATAAATTATGTCTGATGCCAAATCAGTCTCTCCTACTATTCTTTGATCATTCACAAGTTAAGCATGAAATAAAGTAACTAGAGATTTAATGGTAGACTGTAATCTTGTGGTTCCTGAATTTATCTTACAAAAGCAATGGACACAAGTACCAACTTGATGTCAGATCAACCAAGTTTAATAAGGGAATTTCGTCAATGTTATATAGATAGTCCTTGACTTACAATCATAACTGAGCCCAAAATAAATATTAAAAAAATCTATGTATTATATTACATCCTGCCAGAGTAATCCTATAGACACTGCAACTATTCTGCAATGGTGATGTAGAGCAAAAATAATTGGATACCATCTTTGCTGTCAATGCCAGGTAGTCAGGTCATAAATTTTTAAAGAAATTGGGAAAATCACCCAGTAATATTTTGTAATGAATCCTGTAGTAATTTACGACTATACAGTATTTTCCTAATGCATATAAATTAGTCTAAGTTAACAAATTAATTTAGATGTAATTGTTAAATGCTAATTTTTATGACTGTAAAAACTTGGAAAGTAAACTACATCAGTGGTATTTAAAAGTATGGGAAACTATCTTTTAAAAACTCTAACAGCTCAACAGCTCTAAAAACTCTACAGTAAATAATAAATTCAGTTTAATCCAGTCAACATTTATTGGTCTTATAAGCAATAATATATGTTTTCTATATACACGTGATTTTTTAAAGAAAAATTAAATGCGGGTATTTGAAATGTTTGGGGGGTTTTCTCAAGAGTTGCATTTGTGTGTATGTATATCTTTGTTCTCAAATATATTCTTTGAGATTGTTTTTCTTTTTAATTTTAAGTTTTTTGTTCAAGTTTGTCTTATAAACTAATAATAAGAAAATTAAAATATCTTTTTATTGAACATTAATCTACTGTCTAATAAAGGCATTCTCAATTGCCTCTATCAGCTATCGATGCAGTTATTTATTGAGGTTTTGTACTCCACTGTTTTGTTACTCAAAAGCCTAGTGACTAGTTCCTCCATTTAGTCCCTCCATTCTGATTCTGTTACTTGCTGCTAATTGCCTTCTGCTACAGGTTTGTTCTATCTGCACTTTCCATAGCATTGTGAACTGTCTCTGTCTCCAATTAAATAGCTCCTATAAAGGCAGGTGTGATTGAAGGTATGCTTCCTTCTAAACTTTCTTCAAATTTGCCTTGCATTATTGTTGCTCTATTTTATGGGCAAATGGAAATTTATTCCTTCTATTTCATTTCTGTGCTGAATCTTTAAACTACTGTACTGTTTACTGCACTAAAATTTATGTCTGGTAAAATTTTATTACATCTGTATTATCTGTACACAGTTCACATATATTTATATATTCATATAACCAGTAAGCTAACTGCTGTTAAAATTAAGTGCACTGAGGCAGAACTGATGCATTTTTTGTTTCTTGGTTCAGGAGATTCAGATGTGCACAGGGGATACAGAGTCCTTAAAATGGGGGTCATGATGGAGAATGGAATGTAAACTAATCTGGAACTCTTTGAGGACTCTATTTGGCCTCTTGTGGGTTTCCTTGTATAGGAGACATGTCTGTAACGTATTTATTCTCCCATTCCTTTTTAGAATATGAACAATAAAAACTAATCCTATATGCAACAAAGAACAATAGAGCAGGCGATATAGAACAGCACATTTATTTCCGCATCTGCTTAGAAGCCTTAGGAAAAGAAGTGTTAAGATACCATGAAAGATGCGAACCTTCTTCTTCCAGTGTTTCTCAACCTTGACCATTTTAAGGCATGTGGACTTCAACTCCCAGAATTCCACAGCCAGCAATGCTGGCTGTGGAATTCTGGGAGTTGAAGTCCACATGCCTTAAAATTGTTAGGCAGTGTTGGCGGGGATGCTTTTTGCAAGAAAAAGGAAAGACTGAAGCTGCACTTCTGATACATTATTAAACAAGCGCTCACAGCATTCACTATGAAGCGGGAGAGATGGGGGTGATGAAAAAGGAGATCGACACCACCCTCCAGGCGGAGAAAGAAGAACTCACCCGCCTCTCCTCGCAGGCGCTTCTCGGATGCCAGCGGCGAAGTCGCTTTCGAACGCTCACGGTCAACTCTTTCCGCGCCTGCGCACAACGTCTGACTCAGTCACCAATAAAAACACTCCCTGGGGAAGGCTTCGAAAGACGTTCTATCGTATTGTAGAATCGCTGGGCTAGTCACCAATCGCTATCCCCGTATCTCTACTGCATTGGCAAGAATAGGAATGACAGTTGAAAAACTAAGAATTCGCAACAGCGACATCTGCAGACCGGGCGGATCAGAAAACTTGCCTCCACTTGCTTCTCCTAATTAATCTATGGCGCTGTATCATTAGTTATATGTGAACAGCCACCCTGTTTTATAGTGTTACATTTAATTACCTATCGTGTTTAAGTATTTCATAATAGTTTGACTTCACTTTTTATTCTTTCAATGTATACATGTCATTAAAAATCTCCCCTAATAGATCCTGAAGTGATTTGTCAGTGTCATCTTCCGGGACGCTTTTGACTTCCTACTCTAGACAAGGTTTAAACATCCAGGTGTCCATTAAATCTCAGCCAAAAACCTCGTTTTTGCAGAAATTTGCAGCTGAAGCAGACAGTCCCAAGTCTATAGACATTCCGAGAAAGATAAATTGATAGAGATATTCCTCCAATATTAATCAGATCAACCTGATTAGTTTCCAGTCCCAGAAAGTCAGAAAGGTGCTGCCTCCTGATGAGGCAAATATTATTCTGGTATAAATATATTTGCAGAGAACCGCATTTTATGTTTTTCCTAAAGTATATTCGCTGGTCCCAGCAAAATGCGTTATCATTTAATGTGCCAAAGGATTCTGATCTCAGAGAACCGATGAAGAAAAGAGGGATGGGGAAAAGCATAATATAGTTAAGCATTTAGAAAGTAGATTTTATGAATTGTCAGAATTGCCGTTCATGTAACTGCGTTATTTCTTTTAAAAAAATGGAGTTCGTTGATTTTGAAAATGATAGGAGGAAAAAAAAATCTGTTTGCTACCAGCTCAGCATGAGACACCAAAAAGGAAGCCCGGACTTAAAACTGCTTTAAAAATGTACGGAACTAAAAGGATGGATAATGTCCTCTTCGAAACGTACCTACGCGTGACGTCATCACAATGCTTCTCGCCACGACGGAGACCATTACGCTCTTTTCTGCGTCCTAATTTGTTGACGTTACAAAGTTTAATTGGCCAAACCTAACCGGGTCGCGGGTGAAGTGTGCAATTGTGATTGGCCAGCGGCAAATGACGGGGTGCCTGCTATGCTGAGCTCCGATTGGCCGCTTCTCTGTACCGGGGGGTTCTCTTTCATGCCTACGGTTACCGGTGCGTGAGGCAGGTAGGGGCTGGGAGCTTCTTCGACTAGACCCCCGCCATGTCCCCCCGCTCCCTCGGTGGCCTCCTTCTACTACTGCTGTGCCTGCTTGGGGACGTCATCGCCGGGTGAGTGCAGGGAGGAAAAGGCGGCCGGAAGGAAAGCCCGTTTCGGTGCTAAGATTTGCAGGTGGCCCCGCGGCAGAGGGTGGAGCCCCCTCTGCCCTCTCTTCCCCTTTCGGTGTTCCGAAAGGCCCGCTGAACCTGCTGCGCTCTGCCCCCCCCCCCGCTCGCTCTCGCCAGTCTCCGCACGATGGGAGCGCCTTGTCTTCCTCTTCCCCGGTGTGCGGACTGCTCCCTGTTCCGCTGCTTCCTGGCCATTGCTTCCTATCGAGAGTTGTAGGTGGTTACTGCCATTTCCTTCTTCATGAGTCCCGTAAGGGAGATAGGGCGGTATATAAATTCAATAAATAAACAATAAATAAATTGTAGGTGGTTACTGCCATCATCCTTCTTCATGAGTCCCGTAAGGGAGATAGGGCGGTATATAAATTCAATAAATAAACAATAAATAAATCTCCCTTTGCGGGTGGCCAGGAAACGGTTGGATTTCCTGTGCCCTCATAGGCAGATGAAATGTGTATCCTGTGTTTTAAAGCGCGGGGGAAGGGAAGAGAGATGAGTCGTAGTGAACACGATGTGTTAGGATCGTGTTAGCCACTCGGGTTTCAAATCCCCGCCTTAGCCACGAAGCCCTCTTTTAGACCTGTTGCTTCTTTTCAGTGGCTGGAATCTATATCCCTGCTTCCACTTTTACCTGTCTGTATACAGGTAGTCCTCGGTTTGCAACAGTTCGTTTAGCGACCGTACAAAGTTACAACAGCACTGAAAACAGTTACGTATGACTGTTTTTCACACTTATGACCATTGCAGCATCTGCATGGTCACATGATTTACATTTGGATGCTTGACAACTGGTTCATATTTATGCCAGTGGCAGTGCCCCCAGGATCACATGACCATCTGTTGTGACATTCTGACAAGCACAGTCAATGGGAAAACCAGATTCACTTAGTAACCATGTTACTAATTTAACAACTGCAGTGTTAAATGTGGTAAGAAAAGTCGTAAAATGGGACAAAACTCACCTAACAAATTTCTCACTTAGCAACATAAATTCTGGGCTCAATTGTGGTCATAAGTTGAGGACTACCTGTACTGTACTGAAATCAGTTGGTTAAATCTGCTACTCTTCTTGGTTATTGACTTTCTCAGTAGTGTTCCAATTATGGAATGTTTCCTAACAAAAGCTTGGGCGGTCACCTACTTTTGATATAATATTATAGCAACAGGCATATAATTTAAGTCATGAAATAACTTCAATTATATTTGTTTTTTAAATGTCAGTACTCTTTTTCATTTTATTTTATTGCATTTTTTTAAATATAAGCCTCTCATTTAAAAAAAATGTAAGCTTCTTTTATTAAAAGCCAAGATATTTCTTACACTCAGCATATAGAGTGCAATTTTATGTACTCAAGAGTTTTATTCCTGTTTCTGCCAATGAATTCAAGGGCATGTGCAGTTTAAATGAACAAATAAAGGGTGGAATTTTCTCTGACATTTTTAATCTTATGCCAGGCTTCCCCAGCCTAGAGATTTCTACTTGTGTTAAGATTACAGTTTTTTTCTTTGTCTGTTAGATTTGGAGACAATCCAATTCCAAAACAGTTTTGGGTGCTTACAGTTTAAAAACAGATTAACAATAGAGAAAAAAATCTGAAATGTCTGGACCACCATATCTCATAAACCCACCCCTTTCCAAAAAAATCTTCACCAACAGGATTCACAAATACCCTATCCCAAGTGATGGGAGTACAGTCATGGTTTTTAAATACTGCTGAAACATTATTACTGTGGGAGATACATAGATCCTTGGGATCTATCATTCCAGAGAGCAGACACTGCAGCAGAGAGAAACATACTTTCTGAATTCTAATAGATGGCATTATTTGGTTGAAGGGACCGGGAGCACATTAACTGACTAATCTAAGCCATCAGGCAGAAATCATTGGAGATAGGTGGTTCTCAAATAATCTTATACCATGAAGGGCTTCATAAGTGATAACCAGAAGTTTGCCAGCAACCAATGTAAGTCACATATGTCATAAACATACAAAAGGATATTGAATGCTGCATGTTCTGGAATAGCTGTAGTTTTAAATGCTCTTCAAAGGAAGCCCTAGGTAGAGTTCATTGCAGTAATCCAATGACTAGGGCAGTGGTGACGAACCTATGGCCCGCGTGCCAGAGGTGGCACTCAGAGCCCTCTCTGTGGGCACGTGCACCGCCACCAGCTCGCACAGGTTGGGCGAGCGAGGGGAACATGCTCCGTGCGCGGGCCAAGGGCAGGATCTGCGAGGGGGCCGAGATGACCAGCAGCAACCTGCTCTCCAACCGCAACCATAAACAGATGGGACGGGTAAGCGTGTCCAGCCGTCTGCATCACGTGCCCCCCTCCCCTACTCTGCCTGCTGCTGGAGAGCTGGCCTGGTATTGGCAGCGGGCTGCGGAGCCCCAGAGTGTGCCGGTCAGGGGCTGGGGCTGCTGACGGACACCGTTGGCCCCCATGTGCTCGCTGGCTTCTGTGTGCGGGGGCCGATGGTGTCAGGCAGCAGCCGCCCCAGCCCCTGCCTCGCCTTGCCCCGCGGCAATGGTACCTCCGCCCTGCCCCCTGCCTCACCCCGCAGGACGAGCCTCCTGCCCCACCCGCCAGACACCCTCTGGATCTCCCCCAAGCTTGCCCAGCCCCCATAGGTGTCCCCCCCACAAGCAACATTTAGGTGGCTACGACCACCCCAGCCATGCCCACCCAGTGGGCCATGCCCCCTGCCCCCCGAGGACACCACAATGTTGATGCAATCCTGGCATTTTGCAATAAATAAGTGGGTTCTGGGTTGCGGTTTGGGCACTCAGTCTCTAAAATGTTCACCATCACTGGACTAGGGCATAAGTGATTGTCTTTAGATCCAGGAATGACCACATGAAAGCTACCTGTATTTGCTATGTAATCCTAACCATGATAACTGAATAGTAAATATATTTAAGAATCTTAAATATCACAGGATCACTAAAGAGATGCTCCGCCAAAGACATCCCATTTTGGCAGTTCTGGTGTTTTGAAAGAAAGCATATGCTACGATCCTTAGAATGCAAAGCTTGTAGAACTTTCTCTGTGCATTGCTATTCTTATTATTATCAGCTTATGGCAAAGAAGAACATAAATTGTTTTTCTCCCCTTATTTTTTATTTTGAGGATCATAAAGAGACAATAATTTTCGTTGTTTTTCAGGAGAGATTTCTATAAGATTTTGGGGGTTCCTCGCAGTGCATCGGTTAAAGATATTAAAAAGGCCTACCGAAAACTAGCTCTTCAGCTTCATCCAGACAGAAACCCAGATGATCCCCGCGCACAGGAAAAATTTCAGGATCTTGGGGCTGCCTATGAGGTAACTGTATTTAGAAGAAGTCTGTGGGCAACATGTGCATCCTGTGCTTCCTGGTTCTCTTCAATGAAATTGTAATAGGATGGATACTGATTGGAAAATATCAATGTGTTTGTGATATTAATGAGACTTTTGTTCTTGAAAACTTACCTTCATTTTCTTTAGGCTGATTTAATTGAGTATTTGAAA